TAAAAATTTTTAAATCTCTGATAAATATTTATAACAAAAATTTTCAAAAAAATATTTGTTTTATACAATTTGCTCGTGAGAGAAAACCAATGAATGATATTAATGAATGCATTGAAAATTTGAAATTAAATTAAAAATTGAATTTAAAATTAGATGTAATTTAAAGTAAGTAAAAATAAAAATAATTACTTTTTCAAAAACAAAAAAAAATTACAAAAAATTTGCGAATGATTTGCGACCAAAGCTTGTTTTTGCTTCAAATAAACAGATAAATAGCTGATGAAAAAGTCAAGCAATAAACTTACTTTGTTATACATTTCATTATATTTATTAAACGAAAATACATACAAAAAACAATAATATGAAAATTATTGAAAAGTTTAAATATTTTATAATTTTTTTAACAATTTCGAATTTACACACAAAAGTGTAAGGAAAAATTGGAGATCAGATGAGATGCAAACAAAGCATCTTTGCGCGATCTACAAGTTGTATTCACACGTTAGAACAAATCTGAATGACAAAAATTCAAAGTTGCAAAAGTATAATTAGGAATTTGAATTTAAATTATTTTCTTTTTGATTTAAGCAAGAAAAACAATCTAAAATATAGTTTTACAAGAAGATTAATCTTATCAGATTAAGCATTTTTAGTGATAACATATCAATTTATCAGTTCAAAAAAAATGAAATTTAAGTTAAGACAAGCAAAATGGTACTTTGAATTTACTTTTAGACATAGAAACAATTTAATGAAATTGCGATAAAAATGCACACCGATGAGCATTTGAATACAATAGCAATTACAGAAAGTTAGTAATGCTTTCAAGTGAAATGAAAAAATAATCACCGGTGAAAAACAAAAAAACAATAATAATTAAAGTATAAAAATCGAAACAAAATAACAATAAAAAAGTGATATTATGGACAAAAATATAATAAGCACCAGAATTTATCATAGAATAGAACCAGGAATTCCCGGATTCCCCGGAGAATCTTGAGCTTCAATGCAACATCTACGTGCAATAGCAATTGAACTGCCCAACAATCGGTATGAATCGAAAATTACCAACAATTAAGCACTTGTAACTCGATATGTATGTTCACGTACATACGTCATAGGTGGTGATGACCTTGATGGTGCCGCGTTATACTTCTCCAGCAGAGGTGGTCCAGCATCGGGGTGGAAATGTGTGTTTGAGCTGAAGATAGGGATTTGATCAGGTTGTTTCCTGCAAATGCCGGTTACTTCATCGAGATTTCTCCCGAAACGAAAAATTATTGGGAGTTTTTCGTTTGCAACATTTATACAATTCAAAAATTGCACAGTTTGAAAAATAAGCGATTAAAATATAAAATTCAAATTTGTTTTTAATAAGAAAAAAATGACTGATATGAGAAAAGCCTTTCAGAAATTGGAGTCAATTCTGTGAACTCAAATAATATTTTTTAGGAGAAGAAAAAACTTTTAAAACTTCTGTAAGGTTCCCTTTAGCATCTTTTTTTTGATAGGAATCAATGACAACTTTTATGAAGAAAAATTAGCAAATTTTATAGAAAATTTAAGATAAAACATACAAAATTTTATAACTGTATTATCATTTTGATTAAAAATATTCAGTTAGTAATGTAAAAAACAAATGGAAATTTCGTGGCGTGGATTTTACCTGAACATCCATTTGAAATCCGTCATCTTACATTTTCAAAAAGTAGATGAAGGTCTAAAGGTCAAAAAGTCATGCAAATGGTCAAAAAGTCATGCTTGATTAAGAATAAGATTCTTTTTTCAAATGAAATAACTCATAAGGTTTTTTGCCAAAAATTCATAAGTATTTTTTGCGAGTGAAAAGATTTCCAAGCATAATGATTCTAGTAATTATGCCGTCCTTAAAATTTTGTTATCATATAATAAGCAAGTTTGGCTTTTTTAAAAAGTATATGACCATTTTAAATTCCAATACAAAATAGTTATGCAAATTTTGAGCTATCAAATACTCATCACAACCGAAAGCTAATTAACAACTTAGTTAACAAAAAAGATCAAAAGTTTGATAGTAAATATTATTATCATCAATGATATTTTGAAGGTTTGTAGAATGAATGCAGGTATTGTAAAAAGTAATGAAAAAACAATAATACTTATAAGTGTAAGTTTGGATCTCCAAAACAATATATAATTATTCAGTAAGTAACTTACCGAGACGAATATCTTCGTGAAAAGAACTTATATGTAGTTAATAAGGCAAACGTGAAAGCAAGTAGCCAACTGAATGTTCCCATAAGATGCACGTAAAACGCATAACCAATCCGTTGCTGAAAACTTCGCGTAAATGATTTTAAATTTGTTGAACGTTATAGAAAAAATTAGTTATATTAAAACTTACGTAAACAAAGTATATTCATGAAATATTTCTAAAACAAATCAAATTAATTTTAAATTATTAAACTTAACAATCAAGTTTTAAAAACAATTCAGTTATATTTTACAATACTAACACTATCTAATTTTAGCAATAAATAAAATTGAATAGTGATATAATGATCAATCTTTTGTTAATTACTGATTAACTGATAAGTTTTTTGATAAAAATTAACTTCATAAGTTCCAACAATTCCTTGCACAAATCTATTGTCAACTCGATTAGCAGCAAGAAAGAAAACACCATCAGCAATCAAAGAGCACAGTACTAAATATGCAAATTTTGTTCATCAAAATTTAATCATCAATCAGTGGATAAATTAGTTTTTTATTTAAAAATAACTGTATGTAACCTAAATATAAAATACATATCGACCTTAAAAATTAAAAAAGTATGCATAAAAAGCTTTCTGCCTATATGCCTTTAACTATTTGACCTTTGTGTTCAGTGTGGGGCAATTTTAATAATTATTGCAATATACTGAAAAAGTATTTAGACTAGCTAATTAACAGCACATAATTTTGCTTATTAGCACAAGTAGAAGATATACATGCAAGGAAAAGCGACGTAGTGAAGACAAATGACGACGGTCGAAAGCACGGAATGCAAATCCCAGTACAAAGTGAGATAAACGCTAGAAACTGTGAAAAAAGAATGAAGAAGAGAATTGCTTTGTGCCACGCTGTAAAATACGTAATATACGTCAAGTAACAATTACTTACTTAAAACTTTTTCAAATTCTAAACAATTTCAATCAGTAATTGTAATTGTGTTTCTCTTAGATTTATCTTTAAAATATATACAAAGCTTTTTACTCTAACTTGAAAGAAAAAAATTTTTCTTTAAGGGATTAAAAATCAAAATGTACATCTTTGACATATACGTCAAAAAATGTCACTTACGCCAAAATCGATGGTGTTCAGATTCACCAGCGGCTCCATCTTCGTCAATATTATTAAGCGTATTTTCAATGACTAACTCAGCGCTGCGGTCGAATTTATACATACAATGCAGTGGTTCTTCATTATAGAAATCTCCCACTGCAACTACATGCTTTTCCGCTCGAGTACAATCCCACCACAATCCATGCTTAATTAATCAGTAAATCAATCAGCTGATAAATCAATCAATCAATCAGTCAATCAATTCATCAGATGATAAATCAATCGATATTTGTATTTTTTGCAAGTGGTATCTTGTGCAGTCTATATCGTAAGCTATTTGGTTCACATAAACGATGATCGTACAATAATAAATTGAAAAATAAGCGAATAAATTTTTTTGGCGTATCAATCTCAGATGAAAATTTTTCAACAAAATGAGCTCTACCAAAAAGCATTCGATAAAATTTTGATATTGGAGTATAAAATATTGCAACAAATTAAGTTTAGAACTAAACAGTAAGTATATGGTGCAGAACAAAGGTAATATTAAAGAAGAAGCAAGAGAAATGTCTACCTGATGTTCAGCTCGAAATTCTCGAATCTCAACAACTTGCCAAGCTGGTGAAAATACCCCAGCAAAAGTCAGTACAAGACCTGCGAGGATTAGCACAATGCTTAACGCAAGTAAACCTTTTTGCACCGATGTGCTACCCATCTCAACTTACTGAAAAAAATTTTTTAAGTTTAATTTTCATAAAAAATACATGGAATAACCTTTGACTCTAATTTGTTCTAAGGAAAATTGAAATATAAAAATGATCATGGATAAATTTTCATAGGTCAAATAATGTAATGTGGTACGATAAGGCTGAAAAAGTAAATTAATTCTAACTGTTGTAGATTGAATTAATCAATCAAATAAATCAATTTCAAACTTAAAAATATCGTTATTGTATTTAAATTAGTGTATTAGTAATGATAGTGATAGTAATGATAATGATAGTAATGATAATGATAGTAATGACAACGAAGATGATAAAATGCGTCGAAAATTACTCACAATGTTATATTTTTATACAGCAAAAAAAAATTGTAAAATGTGCTGCGTTGCCTCAACGTTCGTAACTCGAAAAAATTGTGCCTGCGCGACTATTTCCTCCATCGCATTGGCATCACAATGGAAATCTTGCATCAAAACCGGTTTTGCAAATATACACACACATAAGCACACATATACATACATATACACGCGCACACATACACGCATGCACAAAGTTTAGTGGATATCTACTTATGCAGAAGTGAAAATTATGCAAATTTTTACTGCTATATATGAGTAAAACGAAGGATATGTCTTGTACAAAATTACAATATAAGCAATGACAGTAAGTTATACAATAGCCAACTGAAATTCAGTTGCTTTTATTTGTTGCAAATTTGAATTAATTCTATAAATTTGTAAATGTGTGATTTTTATTAATAATTATTGATTTTTTAGTGATAATAATCACATTTATGTTTTTTATCAATAATTATTGATTGAATGCGAGAATAAAATCTGATGACTTGGCTTTTCTGAACTTTGATTTCAATAAGTTAAGAATTTACTAAATGTAAACATTTACTTGAAGTTATTATTATTATTATTGTAAAAAATGAGATTATTTTGTTTTATTGATATTTAATGACTTTTTTTGTCAGAGCTGTTCTTAATGCTTATGATGTTAATATTTGAAATTTTGCTTATTCATAGATTGAAAATTTGCATTCAAAAAAAGGAGGGAGTTTAAAAATTGAAAGAATGAATAACTCATCCAATATCCACCAAGCAATTCATAATTTTCTAATTTGAATAATTAAATGGTACTTGTTATTACTAAAAATTTACACATTATTATATAACTAAGCTAAACAAAAGAAGAATTTCTACTGCAAATTTGAATTACATTTTAAAAAATGTAAAATTTTCATCTAGTAGAAAATATGAATTAGTAAGTGAATATTTCGATTTCTATTATTAAACAATGTTAAACAAGTTGATGAACAATAAGTAAACAGGCAGATATTAAGTAAATAAGAGATTAACAAAGAAAGAAAGGTAAAAGGTTGTTTAGTCAATTTCTCAACAATTTATAGTTCAAATCAAAGTAATTTCTAGCGATTTGAAATCATTTTGGTTATAAAATATACGTAGACTATACTGATATCATGAATTTAATTTAGGAATTCAGATATAAAGTGATTACACGTAGTGATTATCTCAGAATATGTAAATAAAAAGTTACTTATAAGATTTTATATATAATATATATTTATTACTTATATAATTTTATGATTCAGTCAAGGCCACTGCAGTAAAATTATTGCATTACTGACATTTTGTATTTATTTTTCTTCAAATTCGACTTCACTTGCAATAAAAAACTGTGTCATTTAAGAATGATATGATTGATAATATCAATTTGAAATCAGTTCAGCTCGTACTTATTTGGGATTTTGGAAATTCTAGACTGAACTGAGGTGAGATCATACAGAATTATAAGACTAATCCTAGGCAAATATATTTGTAATTAAATGACAGAAAATTTGATGGAATTGAAGAGTCTTTTAATCTTTTTTAATTATATATTTAGCATTTTGTATACTTTGAAGGATTCAAGGTAATTCCATGACTTATATGAGAAAGACTAAATACTATATAAGGAATGTTATATAATATATAATTACGGATATGAATGTTATTAGATGGCTAATTAATTAATATTAGCCATGTAATAACATTCATATCCGTAATTACTTTGCAACAGGTTTTATGATGATTTGATTTGCGTCAGTTTCAGCGAAAATTTATTTGAATGTGTCCATTCAGATTTATCTTACAAAATTCTTAAAAGCAAGCATTTACTTACTTTTTAGATGTCAGAGTTAATAACGTAGTCAAAATTTCATTATAAATGAGTAAAAACTGTTTTATAATAAATCTGTCCTACAGTACTTGTCATAAACAGCAAATTCGCAATGTTATAATGACAAAAATTAAAAGCTCATCTTACGTCAATCACGTAAGTAATAAGCATAGCAAAAATATAAGTATTGCAACTTTCAGCTTAAAAGTTAGTCAAAATATGAAATTGTAAAAGTCACTGTAGTATCAAACTGAATGACCTTTATGTAATGAGCATTACACCGAGTGCCAACACAGTAGAGAACGATGAAACTTTGTCGAGTTTTCTGAAAATTTCATGAAGTTAGATTCATTTAAAGATAATTTTTGGCGGCCGAAATTTAAAATTAATCAAATTTAAACTAAATGCCAAATAGACAAATAGTCATTGATAAAATAAAGTCATTCATAACAATTATTTTTGTGTGTGTGTATGTGTGTGTGTGTGTATGTGTGTGTGTGTGTTTGTGTGTGTGATTGGGTCTGTGCATGCAATCCAAGTTGTACATTTTAAAATTTGACCTTACAAGAATCTAAAAAAATAATTAATTCGGAATCAATTCATGAGAATTAATTACAAAATTAGACTTAATTAATTTTTAGCTTTTAAAATTTATGACATTAGAAAAATAAATTTTTTGACATAAAGTATCATAAGTTGCGCAAAGTATAAAATATAAAAAGTCGAGTCATCGAAAATTAATTCTTTTGAATTTTATAAATTTTGAACAAAACTTTAAATAACAATAAATAAAAATCACAGTCTGAAGTGAGAATGAATGACTAAATTACTAAATAATAAGTAATTGAAAAACAATCCCACAAATTCTTAATTTTATCAAAAATTTTTTATGCAATATTTATTTTGTCTAATTTTTTTACATATTTTATTATATATCAAAAATAATTTGCATCCAAAATTTATTGCTTACAAAAGTAATACCAAATTATTGTTTGTTTATTATCAAATTATTTTGTTGTTTTTTCTAAGCTTAAGCTTGTGCTTATTTTTAATTTATTATTAACGTAAAACAAGCAAATTTATTAACTGATTTGTGTTTTTTCAAATTTTTATTCATTCAATTTTGGAATTACATGAAAAATTGCTGGAAAAGTAATTAAATACTGAAAATAAGCTAAAGCTTGGAAGGAAAGTCCAACGTGATGCGAGTAACTACAACGTAAGTAGTCAATATTGTAATTTTCATAATTTATTCCAAAGTCTGTAATTTATTATCAATCTCTGTGTAATATATATGAATAATAATACAGATCAATCATATTTTTCTACTTTCTTCAGATATTTAAAGCAAATATTAATTATATTTTTGCACTCACAACTTTTTAAAAGCAATTAAATAAATTTATGAATAAATTTATTTTTTGCTTTCAAAACTACAGTCTAATAAAGTCCTTGGACAGAAGTTAGACAGTTAAGTAAATTTTAGATAATCTGACACATTCAGTGTAACATTCACAGTATTAGTAATAGCTGAATAACTTAGATCAACATTGAACTACATGGAATCAAATACACGGAATCAAACGCACGGAATCAAACACACAGAATCAAACACATGGAATCAAACACACGGAATCAAACACACGGAATCAAACACACGGAATTGAATGGGAAACAAATCGGATTAAATGCTTTTCAAAGTATGAAAGTATGAAATTTAGACTACAAAATTTACTAAAAGTTTATATTTGAAAACAATTACCAAAGTATTGATTAATAAATATAGTTTTATTAATGTTTTTTGCATTTAAATCAGTTAAATTCACTTCAATCTTTAATGATTTTTTTGCTCAAAAGTTCTTAAATTACAGCTGAAAGAATAGATGAAATGATGAAGTTCGAAAGTTCCCTTTGCAACAGAACAGTTCAATTTCGTGTTTGGTATTTCCGTAGTATTAATCACTCCTTAGATCAACACTGAACTACTGATAATTGGGTCAGTTCACGCAGTCACTGACGCAATAGTACTTATTACCTTATCAAAATTCTTTCAAATTGAGCAGGGTATTTTAATGGATTTATTTGAATTTTACTATGATTTACTGCTATCTTAAATGATTTTCTAAAAAAAGTTATACATCAATATTTAATACAGATACTGACATTAACTAATCTAACGTTAAATCAGTCAAATTAAGACATCTTGAAAACGTATGAACTTTATTAATTTAAATGCTTTTAAAAATTGATTCAACTGATTTGTCTAATTTATTTTAAATTTAGATATTATGTTTAGAAGACATTATGCACCATTTGAGCTTTTCTATTTTGCGCTACTTCAAGTCAAAATTTCAAACTTTAAAACAGACAAACTTAGTGGGAACTACTGAATTATTAGTCGAGTAATTTCTTTACAGCAAATAGAAACGACTGAAATCAAGTTTCACATATTCTGCTCTAAGCTTAGATCATTCTTGATTGACCTTAAAATCACTTTAAAGGTCAGATTTAACTTTTTACTTTTCAATGAATTCAATTCAATAAATACGGATGATAAGAGCTTCTTTTTCAGAGCGAATCTGAAAAAATGATCAAAAGAAATATATACAAGAAAAAAAATGGTAATCAACTGATAGCCAGCACAATAATGTATATCATTGATACTCTGTGACAATTTAGTAGAAATTTAACACGAAATAAACAGAATTGCTAAATTTTTGGCTAAAAAAGGAGGACTAAACAAAGATTTCATGACATATGTGCATGACAATCACGTGTAGAAATCGTCAAGCACGTGACCCAATTATTAACCCAAACACGTGAATTCAATATTGTTGTTTCTTATTTACGACAATTAATAATCAATTTCTTCTGATTTTAAATTTGACTAAAAGAATCAATAAAAATTAATCAATAAAATTCAAAAGTATTTAAAGAAAATAAAATGAATGAATAATTTTGTAAATAATTTCTAGCCAATGATTGAAAATTGAAATAAAATTGAGTAACATTGTCCTCTATTGTAGCCAGCCAAAACTGACCTAGATTTCAAATATTTATAGCTGTCAAGCATTTCTTCTACGTCATTCATTCTAATTTTAAATCTTACGTGTCATTGAAATCGGTACATAATCCTTAATTTATCCAAAATGAATCAATAAATATTGATTGGACTTGATAGAATTGTATACATTTGGTGGTAATCGAATATTTAATATTTTATAAATTAAATATCTATTAGAAATCTAAAAAAAAGTCTATTAATAAAAATAAATACGTATTAGGA